TTATGGACTTTTTCGAATACTCCAACATACAAGAAGCTGTATTCTTGTGTGGCATTACAGGGACTGATAAAGATTTTATTCACGATGAATTGAAGAAGATAAGCCCTTCTTTTTCCATGTATGTTCAAGTTCAACGGGAAAGCAAATGCCACCTCTACCACGTGACCATATATTTATTCATGAAAATGCAAAAGACATCATATAAGGCAAATCATACGTCTAGGCTTTCATCGCCACCGGAAGCTTTTGAATGGAGAAGCAATCATGTTTTTTTCATCAAGTTCGACACATTAATGAAGTGTTATGTGCACTCATTTGGTTTTACTAATTAATCTATTTACTAGCAGTTACCGATATCTCCACATTGTGTCTGTCCTCTTGCAATTTTCAGATATCCGTTGCCTTGAAGCTAGTATGGTCCAGGTTATTTTCAAAAAGCTAGAAAATCACGACAAGTCTTATTTTCTTGAAAATTGTGCATTCTATACGATGGTAATTGTATATGATTTACGTTCTTTGCCTTTCGTTGTTTGCCCACATAGTAATTATTGAATTAAAAACATTTTTTGCTTGTTTAAATGCAGGTGGAACTCAGACTTCTCCCAATCTTCCTAAAAATTGGTCAAGCTTACGCTGAAGATGACTATGCCACAATAGTCAGAGAACTCTATCCAATCAAAGATGAGGCAAGTTAAGCTCCTAGATCCTCTGGTTTGTCTAATCTTTTCACCCAGCCCATTTGGTTCTCTTTTCCCAGCTCTTACCTTTTTTCTTTTTTGCCAGAAATAGGCTAACAAAAAGCAGTAAACTAATTGATATTGGCATACCTTTCCTTTCGTTTGAGGAGGATGGGTAAGATTCGTAGATTGGCCTTACCGGATACCGAATGAGGGTTGCCTTGGACCTTTGTCTTTTGAATTGTGCAAAGAAGACCTAGGCTAACCGTTCTACGACCCCGATGACTTCATGTTGAGCTTTCGTCCGTCATGTGACGGACATCGTCAGAGCTAGAAACCAGTATTCACGAAAAATTACCAAGAAAACACTAATAAAGTTTCACATTTGGGTTTAGTGTTTTTTGCTGATTGCTCTGACTGTGTTCATCATGTGAAGAAAAAGACCTCATCCCGGAGTCATCCGGATCGCATGACGGTTAGCCGAGATCTTCGCACAATTCAACGGACCAAAGTCCAATGCAACTCTCCTTCTGTATCCGGTGCGGCCAATCTACGAATCTCCTCTCAAACCAGATGGAAGGTGTGCCAGTATCAATTTACGGAGGGATTTTTCGAAACCCATCTTCTCCTCATAGCTGTAAAGTAAGCCGGATCCCAAAGTTTCTACTTCATTATGATGCTCACAGACAATCGAGCTTAATAGATAGTGGATTTTAAGGATTTATAATGCATACGATATTTGAGTTTCGCAAGCCTTAGCGCGGCTTAGGCTTCTGGGCCTAAATAAAATAGCGAAAATAACATGGGGCAGCCAAGCACTTTTAGTAGAGCATCCGATGTGCATTTTTATTCTCCATGTCTCAGCTTGACGAATGGATGTACCATATTGAAGAACGCAATTTGATGCTGAGTAAGTCAGCCTGAATTATGAATTCACGGCCGGCGAAGGGTAAACTCACAATCTCATGAACATTTGCATCACCTGTAATTTTGAGATGGCTCACTTTCTCGTTTCCGTGATAGTTTTTAAGGCCCAAGCAGCAGTGGCTGCCAAACTATTTAGTTACTTTAACAGCTTTAGAGTAAAGTGTAAGAAGTAGGCTTACATGGTGTGTCAAGAGAATCTTCCATTTTACGCTTGGTCTTATAGCTCCAAAGCATCGGTGGCAGCAACGCTCAACGGGACCTCTTTAACATGTTTCTCTTCTACGGCTTGGCCAAGTCGGACAGCCCGCTTGACAAAGAACGCCTCGGTCAGTTGCTCGGCCAACGCCAATACAATGGAACAAAAAGCAGCATTGCTGACAGGCTAATGAAGAGATACCTGCATCAACCACGCCTCGAGATTGTGGCTAGTTGAGTACTTAATCTTTGATGCACAATTCAAAATTTTCGTACAAGTACCTAACCTCTAAAGCGACGGTTTTCTGCATTTTCTTTCAACATTATTTATATTTCAGCCATTTTAGCTCATATTGTAACTAGTCGCACAACGCAACTATCTTACCATAATTACTATAGGCATTGTTTGGCTAATGAATATATCAACACCGACAGCACTATATGCATCATGTTAGTTATCATTAAAATGTATGTAATTTAGTATAGCCTTATAAGCGCTATTCTTCAGGATTGCACTGTATTTTGATGATAATGATTACCCCTCACGAACTCAGAAGACAATCGTTAATGTCTCCACATTAAAGCCACTACTATCATTTCAAGATTTGCCGACTTATTTTGTTTAGATTTGTAACATGTTTTTTGATTTCGAAATCCCCTTCTGACTACCAGAATCCATGTCATTGCTAACTAAAAAGTGTATTTACACGATAATGTTCATAAATGATATTTTAATAAACACAAACTAGAAATGTACTTAAACTTGTTTAAGCCCAAAATGTGTCTACTTTTACGAACAAATAGTTTATACCGCCTCAAACCACGTGTTACGGTTTTCAGGCTTGTGAGACACATCCAAGTCTGGGTGCAGCTTCTGGGAATAATAAAGTAAGAAAATAATCATTTGCCCCAACTGAT